GATTTGATCGATTCACATGTAAAATTTCTCGTCCTACTAATTGTGTGATCTTTTATTACATTATGGACATTGTTTAAAAAAATGATATGCCCGACCTCTAAAAATACTACTTTAAGGAAGGTAATGCATATAATGTATATATGACTTTATTTAGCAAGTTTGACATTATTTTTTAAACTCTATTTCCTGAAATCATTACACATGAGATAGATAATTTTCTCTCACTCAATTGTTAATCGACTTATCTTATACCTAAAATTTTCTCCTCAATTCTATAAGAACCATATCATTTTGTCATTCATTGGTAAATCAACTTTGATTCTCTCTCACCAAAACTATGATACTATGAACATGACTAAAAATATGATTTGAAGTCAAGGAATTATATGGTACTCTTTCTATGACTATGTACATTATAGAGATCTTTTCGGGAATAATATTTGATCAATAGAGCATGCTCATAAGTCTGTCTCGTTTGTATGTACAAAATTGAAAGTTCACAATAGTAATCAAATTCAGTATATTTGTAGCTTTGAATCACATACATGTTACTATCATAGAGATATTATTTCAACATGTTGATTTTTAATTATGAAATGTGATTTTTCAAGATTCTCATTTTTTATTGTTAAGAAATCCTTTTTTCAAAAAGCCCCTTTTTATTACCCACTGATCTATTGTTTCTTTCATGTTCTAATTTTGATACTTAGAGCCGGTTTAGTAACACTGAAATTGGCCGGCTAAATTGTCTCGTCCTTTTGAAATTGATGAAATTCTCATAAAAATGCCTGAATTGGTTGAAATTGATTCTTTAGATTTATGGATGAATTTAATTTAGATTATACTCCCTCCGTCCCCCTAAGTTTGGGACGGAGGGGTGTGGTGTGGTTTTTAAGAAAAAGTGGAATTGTGTGGTTGGTATTGAATTGATAAAGTGTACATAAAGTAAGAATGAATTCTAACCACTCAAATGTTACCATATATGGTATGAGACAAACTTAGTGGGACAGACGAAAAATGTAAAACGGGACAAACTTAGGGGGACGGAGGGAGTATTTCATTAATGAAGTATATAAAAAATTATATGAAAAGCGGTTGAATTAGTTGAATCTATTGGTTTATAGATAAATTTAATTTAAAATAATTTTATTAATAAAATTAAGAAAAACATTATATGAAAAGTAGCTAAAAAGATCACATACAGTAACTTCCTTTATTGAGACAACAAAATAGATCATAAATTGAATATAGATAGTTATAAGCATAATTATAGGGATCGTTAATAAATTATATTTGTATATATTCAATATTGATCTCATATGAAAGATCACAAAAAATTATGAATTTTGATATGATTTTTGTAAAAATTGGAACAAAAATGAAAAAGTTATAATACTTTAAAAAAATTGGGGTTTTTTATTGGTTGGGCCCCACCAACTGAAAATCCCACGGCTGCTCCCCTTCCATTTCAATTGGAGAATTCGGTTTTTGGAGTGAAAAAAGCCATGTGTCATTTTTATAGAAAATGAGAGAATTGTGGAGAGTTTGACACATAGGATTAATGAAGGGTAAAATAGTATTTTTATGAGCTATTTCTTTTCTTATATATAAATAGATGACAAAATTGACTTTCTAATTTTGTCAGTGCAAACTGTTCTAAAAGTTATTGTAAAATTTGTAAATGTTACTCGTATTTAATTTATTGAATGGAAAAGGGGCAAAAACCCTTTGAAGTTGTCCCCAAATGACACTTATGACCTTAAACTTTATTTATGTGTAAAAAGCTATAAAATCACGATAGAGGAGAGCAATCCCACCCTTCCATAGCGGTGAAAGCGACAAAGCGTAGGGGTTGGGGTTAGCAGCTGAACTAGAATCGGTAAGAAAGGGTAAAGGGCATAAATGAGATTTGTTCATCTATTAATTTGTCTTGCAAAATATCGTGCCAAAAGCAAACATCTAATTCTATCCAGAACGGAGGGAGTAGTTATCATATCTTTTTAGGCATTGAATTGATTAATTGATTTTAATAATTTGAACAAAAATTCAATGAGATGAAAACATTATCACAAGAAAAAGGAGTGCTATTCACTGAATATGTTACTCAAAATCCACGTGTCCTTGCAATCTAATCTAGTTCTCTTCAGGGACGGATCCAGGATTTTGAGGCAAGGGGGGCGAAATTTTTTCGTTTGTGGAGGGGGTGAAAATTTTTCCTCTAGTGTAGCGGACAAATTTTTTCGCTACTATAGCGGTGCGATTTTATTTTTCTAGTGTAGCGGAGCAAAATTTTTTCGCTAGTTTAAGGCTCTGTGGCTATTTTTTATTCAAAAAAGTTCCTTTGATACACACACACGATCATAACTAAATTTATTACACTTTAAGTTTAGACATGCAATAGAAAAACAACATTGGTTTTATAATTGAAATGATCTAGAAAAAATATCCATACATTGAAACGTAAGAAATGGTAAATCAAAGGAAAATTATTTGAAAATAAAAAGGATATACAGTAGTATAACATTTTAATTATCAAATTATTTGAAGAAAAATTTAAAAGGTACATATCTATTAATACTGTTTAAATAACTCTTGTCGATCTTGTTTAACAACATGAATATTAGCACAATAAAGATTTGATTTTTGAATTGCAATAGTATATGAATGAGATTACTATTTTTAGAATGATATTATGATACTAATCCATATATATGGTGCATATATATTATACTCCGTATTTGTATTAATGCTAAAATAAGTTAAAATTTATTATCTATGCAATAAATTGTTTTTATGAAGTGTAAGAAGTAAATGAATTGTGTAATTTAATTAATGTCAACAAACATTTATATTCCGGATTCACTTCACATGATCTAAAATTGTTTAACTAGAGTGTCTGGTCTTTAATTTCATTTGATATTTTCCAAAACTGAGTACTAATTATCTAACAAAGAGAATTTATTTTGGAAGAATCTACCAAAGATAATTAAACATTACGGAGTACAAAACTAGGAAATTTTATATAATAAGTATCCTAGGTTTTAAATAATGAGTTGTTTCTATTGTTTATTTGTTTGAGTTATGTATATTATTTTAGATATTTCTTCTTTTAAATCTAAAATTAAGTATTACATTATGTACGACTATATGTTATTTCTAAAACAAAGAAATTAAGGGGGGCGAACACATAAATATCTAACTGAATTATGAACATTTTATGAAAATATTACATATGTAATAGAAAATTTTGAAAGTCCAAGGGGGGCGGTCGCCCCCCGCCCCCCCTTAAATCCATCCCTGGTTCTCTTACTTCTTGAATATTGACATTAGTAAATAGGTATGCATAGTATCACTTCGAAGAGTTTTTGAACATTCATTTTACGAATTAGTGGGATATTATATATCATATGTTCTGATGTTGATAAATTCATCCACGAATTAGTGGATGCAAGGTACATTATTTTCAAATATGATGGTTGGGCCCCCCTTATCTAACCATAATCCACATAATCGTCCATTGTATCAAATTACACTTATTAGGTGTACATATTTTCGGCATGATTCATGAATGACTAAAGATGACGTTGCTATAATTGTTTGTTTTATGGATACAATGAAATCATCGTTCCTCCATAGGTAAACACATATCGATTATGAAACTTCTATTTTGAGTATCAAATAGATAACTTGTAGTTGCAAAATCAATAGTCTTTCTTGGAGACATTAGAGAATAATAAAACTATATCTCTTGAAATCCTTCAAATAACGTACGGACTACGGAGTACTTGATAGCTAGTTTATTATTGGATTCAAACTCCTAATATTTAGAAAATTTTGAGTTAAGAGAGAAAAAGACTAACAATGAAATTTGTGCGAATGTGTTAGCCTGAAGGTAGTGTTTGTGATTTTCCCTTTTAAATTTCACTTTAAAAAAATATAATATGTGTTTTTGTTATGGTGCTTCTGTTCAAGTTTAAGTATTTTTAATTTAAAACCGGTTTTCATTTTTGTACTATATTTTACATGAAAATTACACTAAAAATCACTTTTCATCAAAATTATAACTTTACTTTTAAAATCATTATTTATTTCAAACGATATCATATGCTAAATAATTTCCCATAATTTTCAAAATAAATTACATAGTAAAATCACAAACAATAAATCATCTTTAAATTTAAAAATCACTCACAATTTTTAAAACGGATCCAAGGAGCACAGGCGCCGGTGGACAAAAAATTGTGGGTTTCACATGTCAGGCAATGCATCAAGCCTTTAATGGACTTTTAGTTAATGCATCAGGACCGACTCCAGCGATTTGGTGGTCTCAGGCAAAAAATATATTGCAAACACAACATATATTGTGAATTTCAAAATACTCTGTAAGAAAGTTTTAAATGTATCATACACAAAATGCATTAAAAAGTGTACTTTTAATATCAATTCTCACTGTCTTTCAGAGTGCAAAATTAGCAAGAACGTCACTTCAATCAAGACTGGCTATTTTTTTTTAAATCTACTTAATGTATTACTACGTATATGACATAATCCTAGATAATGTCATACGATAATATTTAAACGTCAAATTTGAAAAACTTTTCTCCACAATGGTCACTTCAACTTTGCCAGCACCACATTAGTGCACTACCCCAAGTCGGCAAGCCCCCTGTCGCCACTACTCACTAGTCATTAGACGCTAGCATTCTAGTAGTTTATTGAATAATTAAATAAGTAGGACAAACATAAAAACTGAAGAAAGCTCAGAAAGACTAAAGACCAAAGAAAGACTAAATTCCAAATTCCAAATTAATTAAATTCCAATCATAATACTAATAGTTTTATTATTATTATTATTATTTTGTGGCCCCAAAATATTTGAGGCCCTACGCATAAGGCCAAACTGGGCATAAGGCCGGCTCCGAATGTCTGGACATAACGGCCCAAAAATAAATAAGTGTAAACTGAAGGGTAACTCCGATCCCATAGAAATCGGAAGGTCTCCCCCGTAAACCAAAAAAATATCTCACTATTATTGGCGGGAAAGAGCACAGAACATCTGAATCCAAACCGGTAAGAGGACGAAGAACACTGATTAAATCTTTCTGAATTTGGATTTGGATGATTGGGTGACCAGAAATCACTCCTTGTGAATGGGCAGAGACGCAGAGTGGGTGCTTTTATTTTAAGACGGCAGGGACGATTGCTTCCATTGCTGACAAGAAAGACACCAATTTTTCATTTGCTTCAACTGCGGTACGGAAAACCTTCTGTATAAAGATTGAAATGGTGAATCCTGGTAGAGTTAACTGGTGATCCTGTTGTCATTTGGTCGGGAAAGAAAAGATTGCATCCGCTTCCCCTACTATATAACCGGTCTCGTATATCTCCAAACCCAACGTGTTAGTTTCCCTTCATAGGCAATGGAGGATGATCGATGAGGACGAGCCCTAGACAAGGATAGAAAGGAGGCAGCTTTTACTTGGAGAATGCCTCCAAGGAAGAGAACAAGTTCTGGGGGATCTAAGAAATCGAGCAACCAGAACCAGCAGCCACCATCTGAGCCGCCCAAGTTTGGGATCCAGCATTTCTTTGAACGCCACACCCAGAATGTCAGCTCACAGAAACCCAAGGATGGGGTTGATTCACACAGTTCGGGTTCAGATATTCATGCTTCTTCGGGGGCTCCAAATGGTATCAAACCAGCAAACCTTAATGCTCATGATCATACGAATGAAGGGAGTACTGTTGGTCAAAACCCCGAAAGTGCTCTTGACTCCACTAGTTTGGGGTTGGAGCATGCTACTTCATCAACAAAAAACACTAAATCATTGACGAGGTTGAGAAACAGTGGGAATGTGATGGGATTGAAGAAAGTGAATCTGAATGGTGCTGTTTCGTCCTCTGACACTGAAGTTCTGATTCAAAATAGCACTTGTCAAAAGTCAGGGGAAGAATTGAACTCAAAGGTCATTGAAATGGGAAGTCCAAAAAATGGTGCAGGTTTACAAGGAAGCAGGCCTATTAATAACAATAATTCATCACAGAATATCCCCTCCGGTAGTTTACTAGCTGTTGTAGCTGGAGAGGAAGCCAGTGAAGAAGAGGTAACACCTGAGATTTGCAAGTCGGCATCTGTAAAGAGGTTCAAGTTTTCTCCAGGAATGGTAATAAGCTCTGTTTCTCATGTGATGCGCATAATAATTGCATTTTACTAGCTACCATAAAGTGCCAATGATTCCAGATTGTAGTCACGTGTCACTGGCTTTACTTAGCATAGAAAACCAATTATTTCATTTATGACCAAGTTGCTTTAGGGGCAGATGAAATTGCAATAGTGGTGATCTATTGCATTTCACTGTTTTCGGGGTTCCCTATTTTAGTGACAGAATTGATTGGAAAGGTATGCACACTTTTCATTGTGATCCAAAGATGTAGAAGAAGTATTTTTGTGCGAATAATATTACATGCACTGCATAGTTATAGTTGCCAATGCTGTTCAATACCAGTTAGCTTATAATATAAAGTTTTGTTGGTACATGTGATAGTTGATAAAGCAAAGCCAGGATGATGGAGGTGATGAGGTTACTTGGAGAATTTCTCCAGTAAATGACCGGCTAAATGCGATGTCAAAAGCACAGAAGATACGGAAGCTGGCAGATTGTCCACGGCTCAACTTGTCAAGTTTTCAACAGTGTTCACAGAAAAAGGTGCATCTAAGTTACATATTGATTTAGGTTATGCAGTTGCATAGTTTTCATTTTGTTATTATACTTTGCATCAACATATGATGACTTGTAGTTTGTATATAATAGGTCCAGTCTTCTGTATCAGTTGCAGCAGTTCCGAAGGGGCCATCTTCATCTCCAGTTAAAAAGGCTGAAAATTCGAAACTAGATCCTGTAAGTGTGGATCAAGTTATGGATACTTATGCTAAGAATGGAAGGGTCAATGACGAGAATGACTCTGCCATAGTTAACAGTCAGAGTCCTTTTAAGACACCTCCTTCTCTAACATTTGGCCATGAAAAGGTGATTTAATAACTCCTTTTTTTCATGTGTGGAGCCTCTAGCAAATACTCCGTAGTATTTTTATAAGCTAATTCGACTGAGGAAAAGTCACTCTTCTGATTTGATGATATATCATTAAATGACAGTCTGTCAAGGATTCCAATCTTCCTGAAGCATCTAATCAGCTTGGTTCAAGATACAAGAAAAAGGTAAAACATAAATGTAGCCAGCATTGTGAAGTTACTCTTATCATTGTTCAGTATTTGCCATTAATTCAAATTCTGTTTTAGGCACTGATTGATCTTTTGGATCAAGTAGAAGATGTAATATATGTTGAATCGTTGTTAAAGAAGGAGAACACGGTATTTCCTGGAAATGATCTGCATATAAGATCTGATCCAGTTTTGCCAGAAGTGTCTAGTAACTTGAGCGAAACTTCACTCTTATTTCTTGTATTGGAGGTCAGTGTAAATATTTTAGGCTTGTGTTCTGATATTAGAAAGAGGAAAATATTTTGACCTGGATTAAGCTGAACGGTATTTCTGCTACATAGGTTTCTGAAAAGCATGAAAATGTTGTATCATCTGGTTCAAAATGCTCATTTAAGGTTTGATCATTCGACATGTCATTTTATCTAGAAGTTTCTACACTACAAAAACCAGTAAACTGATATATGCAACGGACTTTCAGGTTTTGCGCCTTTTCAATGAACAAAGAGGGGAAGAGCGAACTGCGCAATTGTGGGATGAATGGTGATGAGTTCCTCACTGTTTTATTATAAGTTTATAACTCGGTTTTAATAGACACAATTGCGAACTGCGCAATTGTGGGATGAATGGTGATGAGTTCCTCACTGTTTAATTATAAGTTTATAACTTGGTTTTAATAGATACAATTGACTACTTATTTCATTAATGAATATAGTAGGGTTCACATTGATAGTTGATGATATAACAAATTAACAATTGAAAAGGGTTGAACACTATGAAGGTTGACCTCTTGTAAGCTCACCCCGACGCCCTTTTGTTTAAATAAAGCCATCCATTAACAACATTAAACTAATAACAAAAGTATTAAGTCTACTACTTAATCAGTTGAGTACTTGCATTTCACTTCATCCTTACCTTGTTTTTTGGACTAATTATGCATCTATCAACATCTAGTGAACTAGACATGAGTCCAAAGTGTAAGTCAAATCACTGTTTAAACAATATGAGCTATGAATACTAGTGGTTCAGCTACCTGCTACCATACTGGAAATGCTCTCATTTGGGGCAGGTGAAGCTTGATACCATACTGAGTAGCTCAGTTAGAAATTTACCCCACTTAATTGAAATTATTACTCTCATGCTCCCATTATACTTGTGAGGCTCTTATAGCAAGGGTTGGAATAAACTGTTTTTTTCTCAAATTCTAAAAATTCTAAATAGTGAATAATTCAATGTTAGAAAACTCATTTAAATATTGGAAACTAGATCACAACTCATTAAATACATATGAAGCTTCAAACTGTATGTAGATAATGAAAAATTCGAGCCTTAAAAACAAATTGGTGTGACCCTCAGTAAGTGAAGCAGATAGTTGAGACAGGAAAGATATCATATCTTTATATGTATGAGTTCTGATGTGAAGGTATAAAGTCAATAGTGGAATAAGGTCTCAATCTTTTTGCTTGCAGGTTCTACACTGTTGTTGCACCTGGTGACACTGTTCATGTGATAGGAGAATTTGATGGCCATGGGGCATGTGATGTTAACCATGAGAAGAACTTTCTAATTGTTCATCCAGATATTTTGGTTTCCGGAACTCGGGTATTTGATTCAAACATTCCTCCTGCATGAATCTGAATCCATTCGCATTCATCTTTTTAATTAGTATAGATGCATCTCATATTGACCTGATCCTTCAGCATATTTTTTCATCATCTATTTTATGGCTCTAAAGGTGGCTGCGAGTTTCAGTTGCTCAAGACGTACCGTTCTGGATGAGAGGCTAAAGGTTAGCGAAAATTCAGCTGCCGCACTGATGGGAACCCTATTGCATCAGATTTTTCAGGTTTGCTAATTGTAATAATTGACTTCACTTTTCAAAAAGCACATTGTTGTTGGATTTAATGAATTGATTAAATATGCTAAAGACCATTGCTTTTATTTCTCCAGGCTGGGCTTATACAAGAATCTCCCACGAAAGACTTTTTTGAAGAATATGCACAAGTCTTGATTCACAAAAACCTCGAGAATCTGTATGCATGCAAAGGTGGAAGCTTAGATTCCTTTTTTCCACCAACTCATTTTCCATTAGCAGTCAAGGGTGGTCTTTGATAAACAATGCATACATCATCATATCCATTCAATTCATTATGCCACATAGGACATAAATCAGTATTTGGTATTTATGTACTCCTAAATCAAATGAAACACTATTTGTGTGTATATTCTATATTTGCTTATTTCTTGACTCTTCCTCTATCTATTTCAGTCAGTGAAAATGAGACTCACAAAGTATTGATTAAGGCAATACCAAAAGTATTGAATTGGATACATCTCTTCCGTGATTCAGAGGTAATGAATGTTAGTAAGACGTTAATGGAACAACTTTTTGTATTGCTCACTGTTGAATCATTTAGGGGGACTGTTTTAAGTTCTTGTTTAAAAATGTTTTCAGTCTACCTTTTCAAAGGAATAACATTTCTGATGTATAAATGTACCAGTAGAACTTTGTAGTAGGTGTAAAATATATGAATCCATTGCACTATTTGTATGAAATCTGAATGTGTAACTTCAGGTGTACAAAGGGAATATTGCATAAACATGCAAAAATGACCTGTTTAACTGTGTTTCATGATCCCGATTATATTTTTTGTTGATTAGTGCTACAACCTCCTTTGGATTTTTTTTAATTAAAAATTTACAAATCACAATTAATATTGGAATGGTCAATCTTGGCCACATGCTAAAACACATTTCCAAATCAATTTACATTTATAAATTCTTACAGGGTTCGCAAATTCAAAATAAAGCTTCTGGAAGTGAAGATAAAGAGAAAAAGATCAAAGTTTTGGAGGTAAGAATTTTGATCTTGCTTCTTATTTCTTGTCATTGCTCTGACTGGCTTGGATGTTTTCATGATCTTATTTTTATTCAATTCACCAATATTTCATGGTTCTTCTTCAAAGAGTAATGCTTACAATAAAACGATGATCTTGATTGCTCCTATGAGTTAGTCGTGAACTACAAATCCGCATAGCTATTTCACTTGTCCTTAAGACGCATAAACAATTTTCTTCTGAGTTTATTTTACTGAAAGATATGCATGTTCAGTTGCATTTTTATATAAACATAAATACATAATGTGGATAACACTACATGTGCTTAGATGACAGTCTGAACTCTCATGCATGGTAACACGAAATGACGAAATATAACTTCATATATAATTTCCCACATCACCATATTTAAGCTTAGTAACTTGACTTTCAGGTACTTGACATTGAAGAAATGGCATGGGCCCCAAAATATGGTTTGAAAGGGATGATTGATGCTTCTGTGAAAGTAAAAGTTCAAATGAACAATGAAGTTACTGATGTGATCGTGCCTCTGGAATTCAAATCTGGGAAAGGAACTACTGGCCAGGTAATTTTGTTTTGTTTTAAACTTCTAATTTTTTGTTTTGTTTAAGATGTACAGTTAAAATTCTCTTATAGTCATAATGATGCTACAGAATGCATACTGTTGTGCATTATCTTAATGCTAATTTATGCAGGCAGCAATGGAACATAACGCACAAGTCATGATTTATACTCTTTTAATGTCCGAAAGGTGTTTGTCTTTCGCCCTTTAGCTTCATTAGTTCATTTTGGCTTGTTCATCTATTTATGGGGTTAATAATGGCTATGACATTTTTATTTTCTTTTAGATACTCAGAAATGATTAGTTATGGACTTCTTTACTACCTTCACACAAATCAAACACAGGTAAGATCTTCTATGGCCTGTTTCATCTTTTTCCTGAGATATCCTAACATATACATATTATCTTTCTAAAGGGAATGACAGTTCAAAGATCTGACTTGGTTGGCCTTTTAATGCGTCGTAATGAACTTGCAAATGATCTTCTACGAGCATCAACAACGCAACAACTGCCTCCAATGATACAGGTCCGTTTTCGTTGGTATGCTGTCCTGTTTGATGATTTGAGTTCTCGAAGCTGATTTCCTTGGTATGCAGAGTCCAAGCATTTGTATTGTCATTTTCATTGGTATGCAGAGTCCAAGCATGTGCAGGGGATGTCGACATCTTAATGTCTGTAGCATTTACCATAAGGTAAGTGAAATAATTCGGGCTTTCCCTGCTACTAGGCACATTTAGTAGCTTAATGTGTATATATGAAACATCCCTTGGCTATTGAGTTTTAGTTGTGGCTTAACTGTAAGTTGGGTATTGAAATTTAATGAAACAATGAACAGAGTTATAATTTTCAAAGCATTACATTTGGATCTTCACCTTCACCTACTCCCTTATTGACTCATTACCCATTCCCATGATCTTCTGGATCTAGTCGCTGGTTTGACCATATTGCTGCGGACAGAGTCATTTTCTCTAGTCTTGGTCATTTGTCTTTGTCATCAAAATTCACATATATTTGTTACATATTCACTTGTGGCCCTCTGGGTATATAACATTTATTTCCTTAAATTATGCAAGAGATTCATTGTACTTGGTTGCTTATGGTTTATCATATCTTGTGCACGATAGAAGAATCAATAATGTAGGTCTTGTCAACAACTACAGTGAAGCCATAGTCCCAAAAGATTTTTCAACTAATGTAGGTCTAGTATTGAAATTAAAATGTTACAAATTACTCCCTCTGTCCCTGAATTATCTTCCAACTTTCCTTTTTTTTCTCTCTCCTCTGCAACTCTCCACAACACAATTCCCACTTCCTTAATTCCCAGGCAAAACCCCATTTGGAAGATAATTCAGTGACGAAGGGAGTACTATTTTTCAGATGAAAACATTTGACTTAAATTGTGCTAAGAGGTTCTGTTTTCCTGCCTTCGGTATGCATCGATGCACATATCTGAAAATTCTGATTAGCATAAGAGGTAACTGGTGTTGTGTCAATTCTCTCTGAGATGATGCTTTTTTATTAATTTACTCCTCACAGCTTTATCGCGTGTTATATTTACTGTCGTAGGCATACAGTGGTACAAGTGATAGTAGTGGACTTGGAAACCTGTTCGATTCTCTTGTTAACCATCTAACTACTGCACATGCTGTTTTTCTTCAAAAATGGGATCGATTGATTGACTTGGAGGCTAAAGAAGTCGAGGTATTGTATAATTGTATTACATAAATGCAGTGCAATAAGCCAATAATGCATTCATTATTTCAAAATACCTCCTGAGGTTCATCCTATTGCAGTTTGCCAAGAAGGAAATATGGAGCTCACATGGTTCACTAATCGAAGACCCTTCCTCTTCACTATGTCCTCTTGTTCTTAGCCCTTCAGATAAAGGGGGTCAGAAAACCTCTTGTAAGGGAAACCGGTTTGTTTATCACTTTGTTCACCAAAGTTTTCATTTAACAAGCATAAATCATCAGAACTCAGATGGTTCTTTTCCCACGAACAATTTGGAATGCAGACTCAGAAATGGGGACTATGTGGTATTCTCTTTCTCTGTGTAAATTACTCTTTCAGCCTTTGACTTGTATGGTAACTATAGCCGAGTGAATTATAAAGCTTTAGTTTTATGCTATTAGGTGAATGGCGTATAAAGCTTTAGCTTTACACTATGCTGAGTGCAGAATTTCTGTTCAGCAGTGAAAGCTTGAAATAGCTACTTTCTCATGCTTCTAATATTATTAAGTGGTTGTTAATACATGTATGTGAAATATAGAAATATATAGTACATTCTAAGTTGTCAAACATATATTTATTGAATAAACTTTTTTTTATTGATTTGACATTTTGACCAATTTAAGAGGGAGCCTTGTCGAACTGTATTCTACTTGTTTTGTACTTGCTTTGACTAATTTATTTGTTCTGTTCCGTTATCAACTATTAACTATTTTGCTTTTGCTATTTCAGATATTGAGCACTCTACCTGGCCGTTTACTAATAGCTAGTGGAATCATTACAGATATAAGTAGCTCCCATGCCTCTGTAAGTGTCCTAAATAAGTTTTTTTTTTGAAATCTTTTTAATAAGCATAAATAAATATCATTTCTAAAATTTGTTGGCGTTTGTTGCACCCAGGTTCTAGTTTTCTGATTCAATTCCTTTTTGAAAACCTGTAGGTATCATTTTCAAAACGTTTGAGGATTCCGGGAAGCAGATTGGAAGATCTTTGTCAGCAAACTTGGCGTCTGGACAAAGATGAGTCCACATCATCATTTGCAATCATGAGGTTGTATCTCATTTTGTAAAGATTTAAGTAATTTTGTAGAAGCCCCTATGATTTTCCAAATGACTTTGACTTTTTTTTTGAAGATTCAACCTCATACAACTGTTTATGCAAAACGAAGATAATGTACATCTCAGGAAGATGATTGTTGATCTTGAGGTAAATGTTCTACCTTAGTCTGTTCTGAAGTTCTTCTCTGTAGACACTTGGGATAACTGAGCTTCACTAAAGGATAGTGAAGCAAAAGACAAAACTTTATCCCATTTGGTATGATCCTTATTATGCAGATTTGTCTCAGGTGCCTAGATTTGACAGTGGCTGCATCTTTAGTCAAGATCCTGCCATTTCGTACATCTGGTCTGAGAAAACACTGAATGGGGATCAGCGCAGGGCTATACTTAAGGTTAGACATTCCTCAATTCTTTGGACATATCACATTATCTTGGGCATTACACAAGTACTAAAGATTTGTTTGAAGTTTTCTAATCCTAGGAAAAAAACTCGCTGATTCATTGCACATGCTCAACTGATTAAAATTGTAGATACTTACAGCAAAGGATTATGCACTGATATTGGGAATGCCTGGAACTGGCAAAACATCCACTATGGTGCACGCTGTGAAAGCATTGTTAATTAGAGGTGCATCTGTTTTGCTTACATCTTACACAAACTCCGCTGTTGATAATTTGCTTCTCAAATTGAAGGCTCAGGTACATTTTAGTCCTTACATATGTTGAACATGATTGTATTAATTACATCAAACATGATCATGAGCAAGGACATAAATGTACTCTTGAAAGAAAAGCGGATAGAAGAAATTGTGTTGTTTCGAACTTGTTAGCTGTGATTTTTATGCCCCTCGTTAAATTCAATTTAGACCAAAGCAGAGAGTCGTATAGTCTGTAATTTGACCTATTATGCTCTTCACTGAAATATCTACATATCGGGATTTCTCACCTAGAAAGTTGTTAACTAATTATATGTAGACATACCTAACAGGCTACAATTGATTTGCATATTCAGAACCAGTGCCATCATGATTTATTAATTTTTGAAGTACACCATCTGTGTCCATTTTTCTTATTTCTTTCGCACTAAGCTACATAGTGGAACTGCTGCAGGATATAGATTTCATTCGTATTGGAAGAAGTGAGTCTATTCACGAGGAGATTCTAGAACATTGCCCATCAAGTTAGATCTTCAATCATTTTTAGAACTTCCATTAGCTACTACTAAAGAGGAAAAGACCATGTCCTGATTGATATACATGTTTGATTTGACAGCTACTGAACTCTTTGGTATTGAAGACATCAAGCAAAGGCTAGAGAAAGTAAAAGTTGTTGGTGTTACGTGTTTGGGGATAACTAGCCCTTTACTGACTAAAAAGAGATTTGATGTGTGTATTATGGATGAAGCTGGGCAAACTACATTACCTGTACGTTTATTCATACTTTATGTTTCTTACAATCTTAGGCATTCCTTAAAGAATAAAGAGTTATAGATCTGAAGCATTAAAGAGATACTCCCTCCGTCCCGTTAGAAGGTTCCCACTTTCCTTTTTTGGACGTCCCATTAGAAGGTTCCCATTTCCATTTTAGGAAACAATTAACAATTTTAAGTGACAAATTAGTCATTAAATATTAAAAACAATACATTTATGACATCACAGTTATCAATACTAACACATTATAATATATACCTATTAAAATTATTTCTCAAAATATACCCGAAGTACTTTATTTAGTTATCACCTAAATAACCGTGCCGTTTTGCTATGGGAACCTTCCAACGGGACGGAGGTAGTAATAGATTTGTCCCTGTTTGAGTTAATCAAAGTAATGTAGCGTAAACCATTTTTACTGTTTTCCCTCTTTTTTTGAACTGCTAGTTCATGTTCATCGCATACCCTGACAGTGACAGAACAACTTGATCTGAACCTACTTTGTACCAGCGCTCATTTCTTGCTTATCGGTTTCATATGCTTGATACACCTTGCAAAATTATTTCTGAAAAGTAAGCAAATGACAAACCTTTTCAGGTATCTTTAGGACCATTGTTGTTAGCATCAAAGTTTGTTCTTGTAGGGGACCATTATCAATTACCACCACTTGTTCAGGTTTTTAATTATCTATACTGTTTTTAGCTCCTAGCTGTAACGTGTGAGAAAAAAAGTATTTCAACTGTTTCCTCTTGATATATCAGAGTTCTGAGGCCAAGGAGAACGGAATGACAGTAAGCTTGTTCTGCAGGCTCTCTGAAGCACACCCCCAAGCCATTTCAGCTTTGCAAAGCCAGGTTATGTTGACCTTCGAATATAAATGCTCACCAATGTTTCCAGTCTTGTTTGGTTAAAGAGTGTACCTTTTTATAACGTATTAATGTCCAACCATCTAAATGAAAGAGTAAAGTTCTCCTGCCTCATTGTGTTTGTCCCTTCTTTCTATATTGGGTCATCCCAAAATGTTTATTCCATTCAATATTTGGACATATTTAGCTGCTCACGATCACCCTTCTACAAATTCATTACAACTGCACATTTTCACTTTTCCTTAAAATGAATATCAGCCCTCCCCTTTACAATCCCCCAAACAACGAAGTGATTCAATTTGAAGTTTAAGCTAGAACACACCTAACCCACATATACTCCACCGTGCAGTATCGTATGTGCAAAGAAATAATGGAACTATCAAATACCTTGATATATGGCAACCGACTACGCTGTGGATCTTCAGAAGTGGAGAATGCGAAGCTCACCTATTCTTGTCTTATAGCTGGACCTCCATGGATGAAGGAGGTAAGTTCTCAGTAAATCTACTGCCTGTAAGTAGATGATATTATTTTATTTTAACTTGGTGTAATTGATTGATGCATTGTAGGTTATAAATCCTGCCAAACCTGTAATGTTTATCAACACTGGTAAGTGAAAGGATCCAAATTCATAAAATATTGCTGCTTTAAAGTTTAAAGTGCATGCCTTGACTAATAACTTATCTGGATTTCCACTTTAGATCTGCTGCTAGCATTTGAGACAAATGACCATAAAAGTATAAAAAACCCAATGGAGGCATTTATTATTGCTGAGGTTTCATTTCTTACTGTTTTCAAATTTCAGTAACAGAGAATACAAGGCTTCTCTCTAATGTAATTTCTTCTTATACAGGTAACTAACAAGCTGTTGAAAGTAGGCATTTCACAGGAGGATATTGGCATCATTACACCGTACAACTCCCAGGCAGATTTGATTAGGCAATCTGTTTCAACATCAGTTGAGATACATACAATCGACAAATACCAGGTTAAGCTGTATTCTATGCGTTTGATTTCATGATCAGTACAATTTCCTGTTTGATTTCATCATCAGTACAATTTTCTAATTGGCGACTCTTATTTTATTTTTCAAGAAGTTAAATAAAATAATATATGTGCATCTATATACTGCTGGACTTGAACTTATAAAGGCATGATAACCTTGATCAGGCCTCATCCCCACCTCTATATCATACTCCCTCCGTCCCCCAATTAAGTTCTCACTTTCCTTTTTGGGCAGTCCCTAAATTAAGTTCACACTTCAATACTTTCCTTATTTGGCAAATAATCTACATCAAAACAGTGTTAAACAGTGCAAACTCTACAGTAAAGTCAAATTTTTTTTCTTAAAACTTGTGAAGTCAAACACAGAACTTAATTGGGGGACGGAGGGAGTAGTTGCTAATATATGGTTGATACTAAATAATGCATTCTCATTTTTATTGCAGGGAAGAGATAAAGATTGCATTTTAGTGTCATTTGTAAGGTCAAATGAAAACCCAAAGAGCGGTGCTTCTACATTGCTTGGAGACTGGCACCGAATTAATGTTGCCCTTACACGTGCGAAGGTTACCTTTTTTTTAAGTGTACTTTTTGGGTAGATTGTTCTTTGGTATCTCATTTAACCAACACAGCCAATTGGAATCTAGCATTAACCTTTGCAAAATTCATCATTTGTTTTACACTCTAGTTTGGAAAATAACCTCTTGTCTCCAGTTTCTGCCACAAAGGGTTCAACCAGGGATAGCTTTGTGAAAGTATAAATGACTGAATTGCTAAAACCGCATAACTGAGACTATAAAGGAGCAACTTAACAATATTTTTATGACATGGGAAAAGGTAGGAAAAAATCTATTTACTTGTAGTGAAGGAGTGAAGTATAACATCCCTCAACAGATGAGTCTTGCTCTAGTTTTATTGAACAGAACTTGGATTTTCTTGACATTTATGTTTGCTTTTTTAATTGAACAGAAGAAGTTGATAATGGTGGGGTCATGTGCTACACTCTCTAAAGTTCCCCTTCTGAAGCTTCTTATTGAAAAGGCTGAACATCAACGTCGCATTTTAACTGTCACAGAAAATGACATTCATCATTGTAATGCTGAGAGAAAGAGATGTTCCCAGATCATATCAGAACGTGATGTTTTGACCTCCCAACACTAAAATTTTGATTAAGCCAATTTTTTTTTGTATATCCCTCAATTTGAGGATTGTAAATGCTCTTTTGTCCATTCTTGTTACGGAGTATTAATTTTGTAAGTGTTGTAATGCTTTAGGCTTATATTCGTGTGTTCTCATGTGTTTCCAAACACGTCGAACACTTAAATATAAAATATAGATGGCGATTTCAAAATAGCACCATTTTAATTTTTATCGTTGGTATTGTATATTTGCATGCGTGTTCATATTTGTACGGTTGTACCTAATGATATTATAATTCAACCTCAAGTGGTAAACAACCCAGAATAAGATCTATGTTTTGACATGTGTCATGTAGATTGAACTTTTGAGAACTATTATTATTATTAGTAAAAGGATAGGTGACACAAAAAAAAAACCATTAAGAAATGCGAAAAAGAATAAAGAAAAATAATTCACGGGTTTTCTTATCACAAATCCCAGAATACTATTAGGGTAATCAGCCATGTCAGCATTGGAATATGCTTAACATAGAAAAATGTGTAATATGTGGAGTATATATACACTGAGACACTACATGAACATCATAAGTAATATCAGCTTGAATCATATGTGTTTTATATTTTGATTGGTCTCAAATTACATTTTAATTAATGTAGTTTACATTTCTACTTGTTTTAAGATACAATTTCATTAACACAATTTACATTGTAACTTGGTTCAAGTTATATTTTGCATACACGCGATTAGGGATGGATTGAGACAGGCCGATCTACCAAGGCCTAACCCAAACCCGATACTGTTTGTATTGACTTGGGCCCCGTTGACTGGTACCTAGACTGACAGAGTTATGGGACGGGACTAGGTCTTGCATTTTAGTGAATCGGCCTGTCCAGTTCGGGCCTAACGGCTACTAATTCAAAAAAAATCTTTAATTTGATTGGCTGCTAATTAAAAAACCCGAGCCTGAATTGAGGCTCGGCCGGGTAGCATGGGCCCACACTGAGGCTCGGGCTGGTAACCCAGACAGGAACTGGTACCAATATAAATTGGGCCAGTATCGGGACAGTACCAGGCCTGTATTTCCATGTCCCAAAACCCGTCCTAGCCCGGGCCCAGCCGAGTCCATGCCTGCATGCAATATAGTGATATACATTTTACTTGTCCCAATTTTTTTTGGACATGATTTCCATTTCATATATGAGGGGTGAATAATTGCTAGAGTCACGTGAGTTGCATACAACGCTACCTGACAATATGAGATTTTATTTGTAGTAATGTAGTTACAAATTACTGTACATGATTAACATCACAATAAATATTGTTTTTCACCTATGTTTTTTAATTAAAACTTAAATAACATCATATTAGTTGCGGTAATATGATGCCCAAAGACTGCCGCCATCATCCAAAACTCTTCACTAATTATAAAGGAGAAGCCAGCCGCCCAAAATCTCGCCACCTAGGCCCTTGGGTATCCCTAGAGTCAACTCAAAGGATACAGCTTGTTAAATCTGCATTAGTGCATGCATGGGTGTGTATCCTACGTAGGTTATACTTCATTGTTTTAAGTTTGCTTGTTATGTTGGGCAACACACACTAGTAGACTACTAAAAGATTGAATCTAACCAATGTATGTGGAAGCCGTTATAAAAGATCTCATCAATCCACATTTACAGCCAACGTTGCTACATTGGGGCACAAAGTATTTGTACAAAACGAAAAGGATAACCAAACTCTCCTTGTTTCAGGTTAAAACTATGGTCGACTTAAATAAAGCCTTCAAATTAAGAGTCCGTAGGATGCGTATAGAAAATAAGAACAAGATTAGTAGCATCTTCAGCTTTCCGGTCAAGTCAGTCAATGCCCAAGCTTGAATAAGGCTCAAACCCACCCTGAATGAAAAGAAAAAAATGCTAAGAAATAGAGACTGTTTTTTTGTACAGTTTATATCCCTGTTCTAAAAAATAGTGTACTCACGGAGCAGTCATCATGGACGCGCCATATAGTTTCTCCGAGGAGGTTTGCAACAGAAAGCACCGTCAGCTCAGGAAAGTAATTTCGCTCCGCAACGGGAATGGTATTTGTGACAATTACCTCTTGAAAGAGGCCACTTGACAACCTTTCTATTGCAGGCGGACTGCAAAACACTACTCCATATTACAATGAGAGAAAACACCATATAGCAAAAAAATGTAGCAGTAAGCCCACCATTTGGCATCTTAAAAAAGCTCTAAGTGTTGAGTATCCCGAACCAGTGCTATGAGTTGAGTATCCCACATTGGTTGTGTACAGGAATTGAGTCTGGTATATATAGGTGCGAGGTAAACCTTACCTCCAGGCAGGGGGTGATGTACAATTTAACAGAAAGTTGATCATATATCTTGAACATGAACAGATAAATGACCAAGCAAGCCAAGACTTGATTAAACGGCTGCAATATACTGACATACCACATGTGTTTACCTGAAAACAGCATGAGTACTGCATGCATAAACCTCCCTTGCTCCTTCTTGATGTAACAGTGCAGCTCCTTTGGAAATCGTACCTGACCCAACAAGCAAATTTTGTTTACAAAAAACACAGATAAACTGACTGACATTTGAATAAATGATGTTCCAAAAATTGATTATATTGAGTGATAGGCAAGCTAATCTCTATTAAACTAGGGAAAGGAAACAGAATGGTCACCAGCAGTATCTATCATGTCATCAACCATAACTGCAACTTTTCCCCTAACGTCACCAATCAGATTCATCACCTGCACAATACCATCTAGTTGATTACTCATATGAAGCAGTATCTAAAACCAACCATAGGAGACAGACAATGGGGGTGTTGATACCAAGTAACTAAAAAATAATGACAATATTAAGTTACAATAAAGCGAGAAAAACAACTACAAAGAGCATTACCATACAAGGAAAATAATCACTACGCCTCGTGAAAAGAGACACGTTTAAAACCTTTTATTATTTTGACATGGGTAAAGGACATGGAATCCCACATATATTATTGAAAAGGAATTCACAGCCATTTTAATTGAAGTAAAAATTTACCTCAGCAACATTGTGAGCATGTCGCCTTTTATCAACGATGGCTAGTGGTGCATCGGACAACTTTTTAGCAAATGCTCGGGCCCTTGCAACTCCACCCACATCTGGTGACACCACAACCAAATCGTCTGAACAGATGGTCTTGCTGGCAAGATAATCAAGTATAACGGGCTACAGTCATCAAAAGACAAATAAATATATACTTCAGATAAGAAGAAAATATTTTTTGAAATTAGGGGTTTTACAGTCAAATGCTAAGAAGCAATTAGACTATTTAATGGTTATAGTTTTCTTCAACTATCCATCAAATATCTATGATAATGGTGATAGATCTCATTGTATCGAATTCTTACACCATTTTTTTACTTATCAAATCCTTTCTCAGAAATATGAAACTGAAACTTATTAATAGCTCCTTATAATGTGCGGTGTGCCCATGTTTTTCTCACTGAGCAAATTATTTTCATCCAAATTCTCCAAAGTATAGAATAACTTTTGAGCTCTAGTGCTCTACATATCAACCTTTGTTGGTAAACCAAATGACAGCATTGAACCAAATACTTCATATATTATACCTGACCGTGCACATGATCCACTGGAATGTCAAAATAGCCCATGGACTGACCAGAATGAAGATCACATGCAAGAACACGATCAGCACCTGCTTCAGTTATCAGATTTGCAACCAGTTTGGCTGCAATTGATTCACGGCCTTGTGTCTGGAAAAGCATCATTATGATAGTCATTATTAGAAATAATTACATACTTATGACTAAATTAAAGATTGTTTATAAAAACGTGACCTGTTAAGTGTAGTGACTACAGTAGTGACTTTAGTCATAGTAACTCATGTTCAATTTATACACTTAAGTGACCATGAGACTATACTAGAGTAACTTTTAATCATATTTTTGTAAATAAGTTACTCCGTATATTTCAGAAGTATTTTCAAAAAAACTCTTATTATTATCATTTTTATTATTATCATGATTATTTTATTATTACTATTATTAACTCACAGTGAGTCCTCCCCCATACCCCCCTGGAGTAAAAAAATAAAAAATAAAAAAGACAAAAAAAAAACCTCACAGTTAGATTTCAGATAAACAAGTTTTTAAATAGGGTTCAGGACAAAATAGAGATAATATTTGAGTTAGTCCTTGCCAATGTTATTAGTCTATTTGGTGCTCAATTATTTTGAAAATCAATTGAGTCCTGGACTATGCAAATGAGTTTACCTAGCCATGATGGACTCTCAACCGTAGGACACATTTGCCCATTCATTAAACTTGAATCTAATTCAGGATTCAACTCTACACTCAACACTGTAAATTGGACACAGTTTAAGCCACATTGGACAAAAATACCCTTCTTAATTGAGTGTAATATGCACGAGGACTAAACTGAGTCCAATTTGCATTGTCAAGCCCAGAACCGAGTCCAAAAGAAACTCGAGAACCAAACTGAGTAATAATGTATAGTCGAGGGACTAATTTATGAATTAACTTATCAAAGTACTAACTACAACCTTTCGATCTGCTCGAGCATATCCAAAGTAAGGAATAACTGCAGTAATGTTTTTGGCAGAGGCTCTTCGACAAGCATCAACCATTATTAGGAGCTCCATAAGGTTTTCATTTGCAGGAGGACAAGTAGGTTGCACAAGATATACATCACAACCTCTCACACTTTCTTGTAACTGCACATATATTTCACCATCTGCAAAACGCTTAATCTTGATCTTCCCAAGTTCTAGCCCCATGTAGCAAGCAATTTCCTGTACCATATCCCATTAAACTCTTGATAATTGATATAAATAAATTAAGGAAGCGATGCCTAAAATACAAGTGCCCATATAACTCTAATAATACGAGGCTTTTTCAAGATAGACCCGAAAATAGCGTGTGGGATTGGCCTCGAAGCATACCATAAACACATACTAGAAGTCTAGAACTATATAGCAACCTTTTTACTTACCTGAGAAAGTGCAGGATTGGCAGTCCCTGAGAAAATTCTGATTCTAGTGCCATTCTGATTTTGCAAGACTGGAAGTCTTTGGAACTGCTTAGGAGTTATGAAGCTAGGGAAAGTGGGCTCACTGTTCATCTGTACAGGCACACATGGTTTCCCATTGCCATTGAACTTCAATGGCTCCGCCACATTACACCTCTTCCATTTCCAAATTCCAAAAGTCACATCAGAATTTGTGCATATACACATCACATGACCTATAAATAAATATGTACCCACACAACATGCTGGTTTTTTTTTAAATAGGTTAAAATGAAAGGTTATGAAAGATAGAGAATCTTACAATAAGGGAGTGTGATGTATGGTATTTGCTGATGCAATATGGCTTTTGTTTAAGTACGAGACCTCCAGGGAAGCTCAAACATGCCATTGAATATCAAAGGATTGAGTATGGAGAGCAACCAACTGCAAACCAGGGTTTTATTTATATATGTTTTGTACAGAAGAAAGGAAACAGGCAAACAGCAAACAACTATATATATGTTATTTCTTTTTTTAAAAATTAGTCTTTTTTTGTAAAACAGTTACCCTCTACTAACTTGTCTAAAGTTCTTCTACCTATACATAACAATCCACTTTTTTTTTTCAAATTTCCCGCCAAAATGGACCACAGAAACCACAACAAAAATATGGTTAGGCTCTCCAGTGTTGCTAAAGCATCTATCAAAAGTTTATAATTGGCTCTAAAAGGCCCTTTCAAGCTGCATATATGCATGACAAGCTTAAATTGATGCACTGTTTTGTTTTTTTATTAATTAATAAATTTATATAATTTAAAGTTTTTAACTAACTAATACTCCCTCCGTTTTTTATTAATAGTCCCCTTAGCCTTGGGCACGGGTTTTAATAACAAAGTAGTAGGGTAAGTATAGAGTGTGTAGGGTAAATGATAAAGTAGGAAAGAGGGTATATTAAAAAGAGTAAAGTGATGATAAATTAGGAAAGATAGTGTATTAAGAAGAGTAAAGTGATGGTAAAGTAGGAAAGAAAAAGTAGTTTGTAAAAAGTAAGTGGGGTAAAAGTAATAAAAATGGGGGTATTTTCTCAAAAACTTTCCCTAAATGGAAAGGAGGACAAATTAAAAAAAAACAGACCAAAATGGAACAGAGGACTATTAATAAAGAACGGAGGGAGTATATGAATGTATCTAATTTAAAGTAAAAGAAATGTTATGAATATATAGAGGTTGCTGGTTTCCCACTTTCCCGCAGCTCGCCTTCTTGGCAGGGGTTCCACTAGTGATTTTTTCCTTATATTTTTTGAAAGAGGAAGAGAAACACACAACTCAGACCTAACTGGTTTTATACGAAATTGATTTCACTTCGAAAATGAATTAAAATCGAGCATGTGACTGATTTTTCTCTACAATGCAGACCTAAATTTACCTATAACCAGGGGCGGATCCAGTGGGCTGAATAGGAATTATAGTAAGCTTAAATATTAATGGGGTGGGCTAAATGTAAAAAATGAAAAAAATTACACTAGAAATATTGAAAAATTTCTGAGTTGCCCTGGGCTTTAGAATACCATACCCGTAGGTAGATCCTCCCCTGCCTATAATCTATACATTGGAGGAGAGCAAAGCAACAAAAGACTGATCTTTTCATGCAAATATAAATCCAAACCCTGAGTAAACTATGGGGCTTCTTGTGATGCATACCTTGAGATTTCAAAGCAGGACTGCTTTGCCAAGCAGGGACGTCTGATGAATTTGGAGGGTTCTGTTCCAAATGCAAAATTGAGGTCCCAAATATGGAAAAAGAGAAAATCTGAAATTAACAATAACTAAATTCGAAAACCTTAAATTTCTCAAATCATAATTCATAAATTATTAAATATTTAAAAAGTCATACCTGTTAACTATTAAATAATAACAGGCTGACGAATAACTATTATAAAAAATCAATTAACTAAAATAACCTGCGATTGAGGATTCTGCGAAGGCTCAAGGCTGCGAGGAGCCGAGGCTGTTAGACTGCGACTGAACGTGAAGTTGTGAATAGGCTAAGACTGAAGAGCACCAGGCGGAGTAGGCGTGCAGGCGGTTCAGGCGTCCAGGGGGAGCGGCGGAGCAGGCGACCAGACGGATTAGGCGGCACCAGCAGTGCCGATCCGCGATTTAAATACTACCTGCTTTCTCTTCTAATTACAAAGTCGGACTTTTTGCACTATTCGCATATTCTATTTTGACTATATTTTATTTATTAATATACTATAAATTAAATTTCTCAAAAATATTGTTAAATTCTTCTCATTTTAAATTTTCAAAATATGAGTTTTTAAAATTTTTTACGAAAAAGGAATGAAAGATATTAGCGGTCAAACTTGTGCGTTGACAAACGTGAGAAGTGAACTGTTACAATTAAAAAAGAACGGAAGAAATAGATTGTTACTACCTCCGTTTTTTTTAATCTTCACAGTTTGACTTCACACAAAATAAGGAAAGAAATTTGACTTTACTGTAGAGTACACTGTTGAGGCACTGTTTGGCACTGTTTGGCACTGTAGAGACACTATTTGGCACTGTTGAGACACTGTTTGACACTGTTTTGATGTAGATTTCTTTGCCAAAAAAGGAAATAAGGAAGTGTGAAGTTTATTTTAGACCATCCCAAAAAGGAAAGTGTGAAGTTTATTAAAAACCGGAGGTAGTAATTGATTAACAACCTCACTAACAATTTAAATTATTTAAAACAAAGAAAATTACTGCATTAAAAAGATACATAATTCAAATGACATACCTTATCTGCATAGGCAAGAAAAATGACATAAGATTACATCATTCAATCTTTCAACAGATATTGTATTTTACTCCGATTGAATTTCAATTGGTATGAGTCAAATAAAACTGTTCTTGCATATATAAAACACTATGTCACAGATTTTTTCACGAATTTTTCCGTGACAAACTCTATCCGCACGACATTAATTCAGTGACCGTTGGAAATATCAATTATTGAGCTTTGTCACGGATACGTCCATGACAAACGAAAAAAATAAAATTTTTGTTATGGATTCGGCCCATGACAAATGGTCGGAATAAAAAAAAAACTATCCCGGAATAAGTTTCCAGTCACCAGAACCCCATTTTCACGGGTTTTGTCCGTGACAAAAGTTTTTGGTAACATGTGAAATAAATCTGTGACAAAACCCGTGACAAACTTGTCAGTGAAAGAATCTGTGACAAGAATCTGAGACAAAATGCTTGTTTTTTTGTAATGGAACTCGAACACCATACCGTTGCAATGTATCACGAAATAATGCACTTAACCCAAAACGAACCTTATAGAGGGATTCATCGACTTGGTGGTTGAATGCTCAAACATGATTTATGAGTATAATGCTTTGGATGTTTGTTACATTATCCAAAAAAAAACGTAGGCGAGCACGAGGTATTTGTTATACACGAGCATGAAACAAACTGCATTTCCCAATTAAGAATGAGTCGTGTGGCTTCTTTAAAGTTGTGTGATATGCTGGTTACAAAAGGTGGGCTAATACCAACTCGACATGTGATAGTAGAAGAACATATAGTTATTTACCTACTTGTACTATCTCATCATCGGAAAAATGGAACACTAATAATTGAATTTCAAAGATATGGGAGAACAGTGAGCAAGTGCTTTGGTACTGTAATGCATACGGTGCTACAACTGCATTCTATTTTGTATGCTAAACCTCACCCAATTATGATGGAATGCAATGATAATAGGTGGGAAGTATTTCAGGTGCGCGTCTTAATCATTCTATTGACTATGACATGTAGAGGATGTTTAGAGGACTAAAAAAGGGCTCAAAAGCCTAAAAATGAAAAACAGTAGCCAAACACAAGCCAAATGGGTTGTTTTTTCTGATCAGCCAAGAAAGTAATGTAAGGGTTACTTTTTGAGTTGGAATCTATTAATGTACCATTACACAACCATAAGTACTCCTTTACACTTTTGTTTTACGCTAATACTTCGTACATAGCTACGCTTAATACATCGCAGATCATTGCTCTGCCCTTCCGACGACGACGAGAAGCTCGTCCACAGCTGCGCCATAGTGGATCGACGACTTCCTGCTCAACCACGCTATCTATTTGGAATTCATATTTTCATTCATCCTTATCCAATGGTTTCATCAAAGAGCATGTTTTTATCAGCAATTCTATTTCCTAATTGTCTTGAATCTTCGGTGAATTTAGAATTCCTTATGAAGTTATTCATGTTATCTTAGTAAATAGATTGATATACATAAGAAATGCAAGTATATATCAAGTCTTAATGCCTTATCAGTGAATAAATAATTGCAACGTGACTATGTGAGCAGAGGCTTTTGTATTTAAATTTTAAAAATGTGGAAGATTAAGTTCTTAGCATTCTCGATTTGAGATCAGGTAAAGCTAGAAGATTGGAAAACTAATAGTGAAAAAACATTGTTAAATTCGGGAGATTAACATTAAATGAAATTGAATATTTCTGCATAAAGCATCCTATTATGTATTTTCTTTGTTTAATGTTTTTTCAGACACATAATGAACTCTGATTAATATTTACTAGTTATCTCACCCGTGCGTTCCACGGGAGTAAAGTGTCATTTAGATAAAATTACATAAATATTATAAAAAATTGATAGTGAGTATTTAAGTGAAAAAACTAAATAAAATCAAGAATAAGATGTCATTGTAATAGCAAACTAAGAAATAGTCATTAATAATAAAGTGTAAGACATCATAAGATGAAAAAAGATGTACATGTAAGTCCATGAAATGAAAAATTAAAAATTATTATAAATTCGTCTCCTTATTGATGAGCTGCGCCAACTTCAAATATATGTGTGCATGTACATGCATACATACATACACAATGTAGACTCATATATGGAAGCAATTTCGATAAAATCCATTCTTAAATTGGAAACCAACCAAAAGCTGTTGTGTTCGAAGTTATTATATATGTGTTTAGTTTAGAAGTAAAGTTTACAATACTAAAAAAAAGTAAAGTTTACTTCTGATTTTTTTTGGCCCCCCGGCTTTTGCCCCACTGATTTTAGTGGTTTGCCTTCCGGGGTAAAAAAAAAAAAAAAAAAACTTCTGATTTTTTTATGAAAAGAAACTTATATCGAGTATTACGTATTCCGTTTTTTATCATCACCCCACTATTTTTTCTCATCTTTCATCTCTATGTTTATGATAAGAAAGCTAGGAAGCACCGTAGTGTCACTGACATTTTCTTCGGAAAAGAGAGAAGAAAAACAGAAGTCTCTACATTTGTCAATTTCATCCGTAAAAAAGATGCTTATATAGCAATGGAAGTGGTGAATGTAATGAACAGTGTGGGTTCCCCTATTTATACAGTTCATGATAACTTCATTTTGAATATTGTGAATTGTTATATATTGCCCAAAATCTACTTAAATATGTATTTTTAATGAATTGGTTCAAACTCCAAACGCATACCTACTTTAAATTCAACATCAACCCTAAAATTTATTTCCTTAACATGCATCACTTTGATGTTCCCAAAGATATGGATGAATTGAAATTCTTTTCCTTAACATACATCACTTTGATGTTCAGAAGATATTTCACTTTGATGAATTGAAATTCTTTTCCTTACCACTTGTGTACCGGTGTACAATTTTGACTTCTCAAAATGGGACCGGGTCAATTCTAATCCTCCAGACACTCTTTTTGCAAATCAAATACTCCATAACTTGCCCTTCAATGGAAATATCACTCCTACATGGAGAAGGTTAAGGACTGAAAAGTGACATGAATTGTTCAGAATCCACCACTACTCAAAGAAGTTCACGATCAATCAACCATCTTATAAACAAACTTTAATTGCTCACATACGAAGATAGTTGTAAATTGTAATACTAATAATAATAATTCAAGTGCATATATGAAGGGACAGAAAGGTTGACTCTAATCTTGATAAATGCATATGCGGAGCTGCCCTTCCTTGTGGCTAATCTTTATTTTCAGGGACTTCGCAGGACCAAAGTTCCTTCCGCATAACTTTTTGAGCTTTGAAGCCATAGCTAGAAATCTGCAGCACTTTAGACCATTAAGATTTACCTCAAATCCTTTCATATAGGCTATGAAAGTATTGGAAAATATCAAAATACAATGTCTTTCAACTTTTCAAGAAAATCTTAAATTACCTTTAAATAACAGGATAAGCCTGAGATTCAAGATTGATGTTCTTGGTTGAAATGATTTTCTGCAGAAGAGAATAAAACCTTGGAATATCACTGTTCACATTAACTACAATAATGAAATGGAATAAATGGAAAGGAAGAAAGTGGAAAAAGTTGACTATAGTGCTCTACTGCTCTTATATAGAAGTATTCACCTTTAGGGTAAGCCAAAAGAACATCTCAACTCACCATGGAACATAGATCCAAAAAGACTTTAACTATCTCAACTGGTTTTTGAATCTTCAATTTTATTAATGCTTGAAAAAGATCCAAAAAGTTAATTTCTCCATATTTTAAATGCTCTTAATTCTAAAACCACCTCTTGAAAAGAAACATATAAAGCAATCAGTTTCAAGTAATTTACCCTTTAAAAGATGGAGTATGAAATAGAGGTGGGACATGGATGATTAACAAAGCAAATGGAAAAGAAGTAAGAATGAACACTTTAGGTGTGACAAATATAAACCATAAATAAAACTTAAATGCAAAGTAAAATAGTAAATATAGATCTAAGACGTATAAAATATCATTACCTTAATAACAGAAGCATAAGGTTTCTGATTTATCTCATCTGGTACTACTAACACACATGGGATCTTCCTGCACGGCTGCACTATAGTAGAACATAATAATATAAGCATACAGTAGCATAAAATGAATTAGTTCCTTTGGAAAAAACATCAAAATATCACCGCTGCACATAACACCAATGATGTATTGTATAGCAAATCCTTTCCTGTATATTCTTCTTCGGTGTAAATAAGAGGTTGTGTTATTTTTGTATCAAATCAATGAGTTGCAAATTCATTATTACTTATTAGACTAACCAAGTAAAAAAAGGGAAAAAGAAATAAAATATCACTTCTGGACATCATCTGCAATAATGAAATGTAAATCTAATCCTTTTATGCCTAATGGAAAATAAAAAAGGCAACATATTCTGTAACACCCCTAAAATTTTGT